CCTGGTTCTCCCTCTCGTCTCAGAAAGGGCTGGTGTCCGGGACTAGGGTAACCCTCGCCAAGTACACGCCCGTGCTCACGGCCCCATGAAGGAGCCGCCAGCTGATATCCCCGGCGGGCCTCGGGACCAGAGTGGAATAGAGGCTGGGCCACCCGGGCTTCTCACCCTATGCAGGCTGTGTAGCGGGGTGGTTACCCGCTCCAGCCCTGACAGGGTAGAAGCCAGCCCTGGGAGAGGCCTAGGGACTAGGAGAAAAAACCCAAGCTGATTGGGGAAGGAGCTACACCTGGGCCACGCCCCAATTAGGGCAGCTGGGCCTTATCAGGCCAGGGCAGCCAGAAGCCGAGTAGTTTCCTCTCTAGCTGTGGAGGAAGATTGGCCTGGCTGCAGGGGCATAAGAGGGTACCTGGGAGTGAGGCAGAGCCAGAGGAGCAGGGGAGTTCCAGGCTGGTGACTCCCCAGGCTGCAGGGTCTGGTCCCAGGCCCATAGAGGTACTGGCTGGTAAAAGAAGGCAGCAGGACAAACTGCCTTGCCTGTGATGAGTGGCTTTTATACTGCAGTCTGCCCCAGTGAGTGGGCTAGGTGAGGACTGGCAGTAGCCCAGACTGAGGCAAGGTGGGAGTAGTGGGTGGGGGTTCCCCAGGGAAGGGAGACCCACAGAGATTGTTGGGGTATTGCTGGGGGAAGCACCTCAGAGAAAATGGGCACTGAGGTCTGGGGGGGACATGGGGCCCAGTTGTGGCAGATCATTGGCTTACAGAGGGCGCTCCGGGCTGGAAATTGAGCTAATTCCCTGAGAGACCAGCAAGAGGCACCGCAGGGGTGAGTCCACATGCTTACAGCTGGCACTGATGTAGCATGCTGAGGGAGCCAAGAAAGCTGGATTGATATAGACAGGGCAGTTGCTGTGAAGGAGGTCACGTAATCACCATAAGATGTTTATTTTACTGTTTCAGAGGCTAGGAGAAGTCTGTTCATATTAGCTAGAGATAGTATCTGTATATTAAGAGATGGGCCTGGACTATTAAATATGTGGATGTTTTGCTCAACCCATTATATACATAGAGGCCAGCTACACAGTTGAGATCCAAATCCAAAGTCCAGAAATTATCAGATTTGGGGGGTTTGGTTTATGCCAATGGTTCCCAAACTGGGGTTTGCAAAATGTATCAGGGGGTTCTCAGAAAAAAAATTCTGTAATGGTGGACAGAGCCATCCCTAGGGACCCCAGGTGCCGGGGCCAGCAGCCCGATCCCCGTGATCATAACTTCCTGGCAGAACAAGTTTAAGCTTTGTTGTAGTCATGTGTTATTTGCCTGGACGGCTCAAGGCTCAAATGCTTGTGGGAGAAAATATTTGAGTTGGCTTCTTAAATACCTTCATGCTGGTTCGTACTCCTTGATGAAACATGTAGGAGGCTTAATCAAAGTGATATGAGCTACAAAAGTGAAATCTTGGAGGTGTTGCTGTTTTCATTATGTAATAAAATGAATAATGTAAT